TTTTTTCTAACCAATTTTTAACTAATTTCGTTTGGTGTGACAAATGCATATTAATTTTTCTAGGAGATATTAGCAGGCAAAAGAAAAATAGAGTTCTCAAAAGATTACGCTCGGAAAGAGAACTATAAAATCTTACTTAATGAAGGTTGTAGCTTCCTTATGTTGTTAAGTTCTTTGGCTCTTGAATTAAGGAGATCAGTGTGAATATCCTTATTTTACAGCCAAGAAAAAGATGTGAAATTTCTTGATACGTCTTTATATCAAAGCTAGACACTAACTTATACAGTTGTCCATAATATAATAAGCGTGCGATATTTTGAACAGTTTGGACTATTTTTAACCGACTTCCAAACAAGGAGAAGGTTTCCAGTTCGTCGGAATATTTTTTTTTTTTTATGTATGTTACCGCATAACTTTGGATAATACTTTTTTCATCGGAAAGGTTGTGTCTCAGAGGTGGTCCCATACTAATCTGGTTAAGTGCCGTTCAGGGGATCATGAGATATATATATATATATATATTTTTTTTTTTGATATGAGAATTAAAGTCATTTTTTTTTGCTAAAAATTACTTGTTCTATTGTTTGTTCAATGTTTATTAAATAAATAGAAAATTCTATCAAAAAGCGCATAAATCCTTTGTTTGTTGACGGTGCTAGGAATTTTCTGCCCTGGTCAAGTATACTTTGTATGGTAGGCGCAGTGGACATAACTATATGTGTAGGCCTGTACATACACTCAGAGAAAATTTTCGTTCTAAAAGAAGTTCAACTTGAACTAAATTAGTTTTTTTCGTTATTTAAAAAGTTTTGAGATGATCAATAATTCCTAACCCCACGTCTCCATGTGGGCAACCTTGCTGCCTAAACATAACATGAAGACTAAGTTGTCAAACTACGAAATGACAGCTCAAGTAAGACAGCGACGGTAAGAAATTCGTCAAGATTGATATGGTTTAACAGTTGAAATTTACGGTCTCCACCTGACCTTTCTGTCTTTACGCAGCTTTTTTAACAGAATCTGTACAAGGTGGTGACGTGGGGTAACAAGAAATTTTGTTGTTTAGTAAAAATTCTTGAAACAAGAATTTCGTACTCTGTATAACAATTTTCTGGATTACCCTACTTTTATAACCGAAATTCTTGTTTTTGGCTTGATTTAAGTATACAATTGTTACCAAAATTCTTGGCCTGTTAGGGTAGTTTTAAAATATCAACATCTAAGTTTTTAGTCTACGTACAAAACATCCGCGACAATTTCAAATTTTTTTAAGTAACTCTTTAGAGAACCAGAGTTTGAAAAAATTTCATTTTTTTAAATTGCAAGATCTGATAACCTCGAAATGCACCTTATTTTTAACTGGTCAGAGTCAAAATTATGCGATTAAAAAAATTATTTTTTCAACCCCCAAAATTTTTTCTTTTTAAGTTTTTGTGTATCTCTGTATTTTGTACGTAGAATAAAATTAAGCGATGCACCATGATGTTGATATTTTTTAAGGATCACCCTAGTTCACATATATATATATACCTACAAATTGTATCTATGTGCATATGTACAGTTTAATAAAATGTTAGTTGAATTTTTCATATAAAAAGGCAGCTTACTTTTACGTACATTTATATCCTCGAATTCGCACACTCAAAAATCACATATGTATGTAAATGTGGCATTTTTTAAATAAAAGTGTGCGAAACGAGAATGTGTAAAATTTACTGAAAACACATTCTATTTAAATTTACGAGAAATGTGTAAATTTAAAATGCAAACAAACACATTTTTTGGCAGTAAATTAACATTCGTTTTCTTAGAGTGTACATATTGTCAATAATGAAAGCGCACTTACCACACTCGTATCCACAACTTTCGAAGCATTTCTGGTGTCACTGCCGCTTCTCTCAGAATAGCTGCTATTCAATAGGCTAGCCAGAGGTTTTTCATCTTCCTCCTCCTCTTCCTCGTCCTCGTCCTCATCAGCTTCATCAGACGCAACTTGGCCGACATCACCTGAATTTAGCTGCTCCTCGTCGGTACCTTCTTTTGCATCGGACCCAACTTTCTTCACACACACTCGCCGATCTTCGCGTCTTTCGCTCAAATCTTGCGCTTGTGCACATACCTTCTCATTCTCCTCCACCGAAACGGTGCCACTGACATCTTCAACGCCATTGGATGCGGGCGAAATTTCGTCCAAGGGACTACATTCCTCCTCCTCCTCCTCGTGTTGCGTTGACGCCGCCGCCACCTCTACTAATTCATTCACTTCTCTCAACTCCTCCTCTTCATACTCATACTCTTCCTCTTCCTCGGTGGGCGTAGATGTCACTGTGGAAGATTGAAGAAAATTACCAGCTGTAATAGTGGTAGTATTACTAGAAACCAAATTGTTTGTGGGAAATAATTGTGTTTGTATGGGAAGTTGACCGCTGGCCGAGGTGTTATAAGCCGCTGCTGCCAATGATAGCGCCGTCGCTGCAGACAATCCCGAATTTGGTGTTGTTGGTGTTAACAACAAATTCGAAGGTGTATTGTATGCGGATGGCGTTGTCGCTAACATTGACGGCGGCGGCGGCGGCAGCGATGGTGGCTGTGACACCAATTGGCCGAGCAGCAACTGTTGTAGGGGGGATAGATTGTGTTGTGTGTTATGTAGTAGTTGTTGTTGTTGTTGTTGTTGTGGTTGTTGTTGTATGGCTATTGTGGAGTTGGAATTACTATTGGGACTACGGGTGGTACAACTACTGCTACTACTACAGTTGGTGGTGGTGGTTGTTGTAGTGGTTTGCGAATTTTTGCGTAATTGCGTTCTTGGATTGTGCGTCGGCGGCTGCTGCTGCTGCTGCATTTGTTGTTGCTGTTGCTGCTGCAGCTGCTGTTGTGGGTTGGTGATTGTTGTTGCTGTCATTGTGCTGCTGCTTATGTCCATCTCCATCTCACGCTTGTTGAGTGAGGGTAGAATGTGCATTTGTTGTTGCTGTTGTTGGTGTTGCAGCTGCTGATGTTGTTGTTGTTGTTGGTGTTGCAACTGCTGATGTTGTTGTTGTTGTTGTTGCTGCTGCTGTTGTTGCTGTAGCAAATTCATCATGTACAATTGCATAATAAATTCCAGTTGGGTAGACATTTTGGCGGAAACTGTATTTGTTGTTGTACAAGTATTGTTTTTTTTTTTCAAATCAATGATCGCACTCCACCGAACTGGCAATATTTTCACCCACTTTTCACAGCAACGTTTTTTGTTCCTTTTCAAAATTTAATTTGAGTGTTAGTTTTTATTTAAAAAATATACTCTTATCACTAATTTTCCAGCGTTACAAGAATTTTAATTTGTTTTTTATTTAAAAAGTAAATTTTGGAAATTATAACTACTGATTCTTTTTGCTAAAAATTCATGGTTGTTTAATAGTTCTAAATTATGTTATTTTTGCAAAAAAAAAAATAATAGTTTTTTTATAAAATTTAAAATTTTTCAATTAAATTTTCAGAGCTTTTTAAAAGTTCATCAGTATTATTTGTTATTTTTTTATTTATTTGTTTAGTTAACAATATATATTTATTTAAATTATTTAATTAAAAATATTTATTAAAATTTTCTAATTTTGTTTAAATCTTATGCTTCATTTATTTTATACGCTTTATTTTATATTTAATATTTTTCAAATGAATATTATTTTCCTATTTTTTTTTATTTTAATTCCGTAAAATCCAAGAACAGCACTATTCCATATTTTTTCTTTTCGCAAAAATTTCACAAAACCACACAAGTCTTATCGTCTTTTTTATTTTTAAATTTCTTGTTTCGAAATCGTTTTCCTTGCAGCGAAGTATCGACGTATCTTCGATTGCAACTCTTTCTTTCGAATGAAATCTTAAAGAAATAAAAGCGATATATCCAGCAGATTGTCTCGCAAGCTTGGCATCAAGGCTCAAACTGATTCAACTCTTCCATAGCAAGCGTCTAATATACGTAGCAATGTCCTTAAAAAATGATTCTAATATAAAATTTCTAATAGCCCAAAATTGAAGCATCGCAACACTTTCAACCCTCTCCTCGCACATAAAAAAGTGATCAGCCAAATACATAGCTGACAAACGAAGTTCTCAGTGAACACTCTCTGCTAAAAAATACCTTCCACACATACATTGTATGTATGTATGTACTATGTGTACGTTTGTATGTAACAAATCTGTCTCTCCGATCTGCTGCTCTGCTATGTTCAGTACATTCACAACACTACACAATCAATTTTCAATTTTTTACTTACCCAAGGGGTTGCTTAGCTCAGCTATTTTTTAGCCAAGCATTGGTTCAGTTTTCAAGCCTCCCGCTCTTATACTTATTTCAAACGCTCGCTCTTTTGTAGCGAGAAATTTTTCATTTCTACGAAACATAATTTTTTGAAAATCTCTCATACTTCTTTATCTGTTGTTGTTGCTTCATTGTAGGTTTTTTATTTTTGCAAAATTCTTCCACCAATAAAATGTCAGCAAAATGCTAATACTATACGAAAAGTGGTGTTTTTTAGGTAAAAAATGAAAATCCAATGACCAACAGCAAGTCGAGGAATCTTTCATGTTTTCTGCCTGCGGTGCTCTTGTTTGTTTTATTTTTTTAGGTAATTGTTGCTTTTTACGGGGTTTTGGACAGCTGTGCAAAAAATTCCTTTGGTGCGAAAGGGCATTAGCTTACATACATGTGTACATGTTACATATGTACATTAGACTGCATCACCAAAAAAAGTTGCTGTTTTTCCGCCGGGGTTACAAAATTTATTATATTTTAAGACATCCATCAAAATATTTCGGAAAAATGTTAAGATTTAAGCGAGCTGGACCGATTTGAAAATACCTCCAAAAATGGAGTTTTTTATGAATAAAAATAGTTTCTTAAAGAACTTTTTGATAAAGGTCCCCTCAGATGACAAAACAGATTGGGCTTAAAAAATCTGCATAAAAATATTTAAAAATCTTTTCAAAGGAATCGTAATAATGAGATTTTTGATGCTGCTCTTTACTTTTTTCAAAGATTGATTTTCGAAAAACTTAACTAACTGTGCCAAAACTATTCTGATTTAGACTTATGGGATCTCGGTAGAAAGGTATTTTCCCACTATTTTTATCTATGTGCAAAAAAAGTCCTTCGTGTCCCAATTTTTCATTTTTGTTTCAAATACCAAACAAATTCAACTTTGAATAATGTTCGTTCATCCTACCTTTCTCTTTCATCCTTTGAATGAGCTTATTAGCAAAGAAATAAAAAGGGCGAGAAGATACGTCTAAATCGGAAGAGTTTAGGTTCAGTTATTCAAGTTTTTCTTATACCAAACTTTGAAAAAAAGTTAAAAAACCAATCTCATTAATACGGTTCCGTTAAAAATTTTTTTTATTTATTTTCTTTTTTAATGTTTTTATGTAAATTTTTTCAGCTTAAACCTTTTGTCAATTGAGGGGATTTTTTCAAAAAACATCTTTAAGAAACCATTTTTATTCATAAAAAACTCCATTAGTGGAGGTATTTTCCAATCGGTCCAGCTTGCTTGCTTAAATCTTAATATTTCTCCGAAATATTTTGGTGGACGTCTAAAAATATAATAGATTTTATAATTCCAATGGAAAAACAGCACCGATTTTTTTTTTTTTTTTGTATGGTGAGTGATGCACTCTAATGTACATACATACATGTCGTCGTTTCAAGTACAAAACCGCGTAACTGACATTTGCTGCCAAAAACTGGATTTGCTCACACAAGCTCTTGGCTCAATCCTTATCAATTCGTTCTGAAATATACTAGCCAGTAATACGATTGCTTTATAAAAAAGAGAACCGTGTTGAAATACGAGTGTTTTTACTCTCTTGAAAATAATTTATGTAACCTCGCTTACGCGGTTTTGTACTTTAAACGACGATATGTATGTACATATATAAACAGCGTTTCAGTATATAGGTATAGAAATATAAAAACTACTTGTTTTATGTAAATATTGTGCATCTTATATATGTATTTTAATTTCGTTTGGTTAAAAAAGTTTCCAAAATTTAAAATCTTTGTAGTCTTACAGCGTTCTCCAATGGAAAAATATGCAAATTTTGCAATTCTTTACGTATGTACATTAGAGCGTCTCGCTTTACTGGCAAAAACAAAAAAGTTCGCCATACATTTGACTCCTAGTTTCACGAGCATATTGATTTTCCTTTATGTAAATTTTACTGTCCTACGATGTTTTCAAATCCAGATTTTCGCTTGAATATATAGATGCTATTACCATCTAAAAGGGAATAAAGTATAGGCTAAGTTGCTGATAAATACAGATCCAAGATGAACTATACCAAGGAACTTGGTGGAAACCACGCCGTTGCATTGCAAACTGAAGCTACAAAAAAAATTTAGCAACCGATTAGTTCTGATAATAGGCAGCACTTGGAGCTACAGTATCTAAGAATCAGTAACTGAATGTCGGGGCTCCAGGTCATGGGTTCGTAGAAGGAAATATGAGAGCGAAAGAATTAACTAAATCAGGAGCTTGTTTGAATTGCAAGCAGAAATATTTTTTCACTTTCCAAAACAGCAAAGGATGAGATGGCGGTCATGTACATATGAAGTCCTTCAGCCCTCTCGGAAACCTTCCGGACGCCCATTTATAACCTAGACAATAAATACATATTATCCTTGTAGTTGCTTTTCAAAGGTGGCTCAGATCATAGAATCACTGAAACAAAATAAATGCAATGAAAAAAAATTTACGTTTTTCGAACAAATCACCTCTGTGCAATCTGTATTTACAATAGCAAAGCTGCATAATTTCGATTTTAATATTTACATATTACTTACATATGTACACCGAAAATTTCCCGCACTTTTAACAAACCACAAGCGGAAAATGGCGAAACCAAAATGCGCCAGCAAAAAAATCCAATCAAAATGAATGAGCGCGAATTTTGCAGCTGCAAAAAATATCCAAAATTGGAGAAACGTCAAACATATAAAATATAGCACACTAGAATTATGATTTCCATTAGAATTACAAAAAACGCGAAATCAGAATAAATCTGCATTACAAAGAATCGGTGAATGTAGGGAAAAATTTGCGTAAACGAAAAATTGCGAAAAATACTCACCGAAATTATATTAACGCAAATGAAGTGAATGAGGTTTTCGAAAAAAAACAAAAACCAACGACGAAATTTGCATATTTCATTGAAGCAAATATTGAAGAGTGCCAAAGGAGGGAGGCGCAGCCAACAAAAAAGGTTTATCGAGTGGTACAACAACAATCACAAGCGCATAGGAAAAGTGTGCGCGCAGGATTAAGCAGCAAATCGCGTATAGTAAGGCAAAGGCAAACAGCGCAGACGCGCAGACTCGCAGGATGTTGTAGGCAGCGTGACGGCGCAGTGCGGAAAAGCATGCTGGCTGGCTGCTTGCTTGCTTGCTGATCGTTTGTCGATATCATTTGCATAAATTATTGCAAAGGACCTGATCGCTATGGCTTTGCAAGCACACACACACACACACAACTACAAACATACATATGCACGCATCAGTCAGTCACAAGCAAAAAGGGTAGCATCATTTTGGCAACTGTGAAGCCAGCAACCGGGCAAGGGCTGCTCACCTTGCATTTCCCACAAACAACTACACGCTGCCAAGGCCTACAGCCACAGCCACAGCCATTAACAGTCAGCCACCAGTACGAAAATCAGTTGGGGCGCGCATGCGCATAGTGTTATGCAAATGACCTGTCGAACATGGTTCAATTGAAAATAGCGCACAAACGATTGCAAAAGCATGAGTATGGATGTGTGTGTGTGTTTGTGAGAGAGATTGTTTTATTTGACTGCGGAAGCAATTGAATGGCGCATGCGCACAATTTTCAGCAAACGTCTGCATCGTTTTGGTTTTTTTTTTATTTTTCTGACTAAAAGAAATTTATGCAAATTAATAAATGAATGAAATAGTAGTACGTGCGATGCGAAATGAGTAGTGTGTGCGTGCGTATGGGTATCTGTATATCGTGCGTAAAAGATTTTAATGCGCCTGCAGTCAATATATTCAATTCGGTTCGATGAGACAGTTCGATTTGTTAGAAATATGTATGTACATACATATCTTGCAGCTACAAGCCACCCTCCCAATGGATTTTTTTCACTAAGGCTAGACTACATGAACGATGTCAGCAAGGTTTTGTGGAAGAGCATAGAATGTACATTAGGGTGGTCCAAAAAAAAGTAAAGTCGGAAATTTAATGATCTCACCCCCTAAGATTGTTCTATACCGAAAAAAAGTATACCCCTGTTTTTTTTTATTTTAAAATCTAAATATATTTAAAGGTCGCTCAAAGCGCTCAAAGTTTCCCATGTATTTTGTATGGGGAAAAAAAGACTTTTCGTAGAAATGGCATAGAATCCATGGAAATCAAAATTTTTCAATCTG